ACACAACTTGGCCCTTTCGTCATAATATCTTAACGGGATAACAGTTCCACAGTGGTATAGTATAAATTTTATCATTATGCAGCGCGAGCGAGGCGGCATAATCTTCCTGTANATAATGCTCTCGCGCAGGTAATGGAATTTATCCATTTAAATGACAAAATACGCCGCTCACTTATAATAAAACGGCCATATTTTATTTCCTTTGCGATGACAGAAATTCGCTTTCTATTTATGTTTATGTAAATATGCTAATAAACAAGGCATTTGCGTTTATTATCACAAATTAATTATTTTCGTGATACCTAATTAGGAGTTTGGCAATATTGGACGTAGACAGTAATTTAAGTAGGTAGGTACGTAGTTACAATTAGTTAGAGCTAATTAAATAAATAAATAAATTTTAATAATCTTTATTCACAAATATCATTTCCTGGGATGATGTGAAAACCACAGATATATTATTATTTCGGTTTAGTTTTTTTTTTTGGAAAAACAACAGTCACCAGTTTCAGAAAAACAACAAACCTTGCTTCTTTCTACGAGCGCTACATTTTCGTTAAATAGAATATAAATAAACGTAACAGGAGGCAGTATGTTATGTAGTACAAAAACCCCATAAAAATTTCGCGTGTGTAGCACAAGTCAGCATAACATATTCCTCACCATTTTTAATGGCTGTCACTGCCTTTCGCAATAAAATACACAAGTCACGTTGTCCATAATTTTTACAGAAGCGCAACAGCCGAAGCGGGATTATAAAAATTAGTGATCTATAAAACCCGTAGGCACACCATGAATGGCTGCTAACAATGGCCACTGAATTACCCGCTGACGTCATCGCGAATGAAGACTAAACATTTTTACAATAGCTAATAACGCGAGAGTGAACTGACGCTGAAGGTAGACTGGAGGGAACGGCCAACTCAATATGTCCGAGAGAGAAATTGGTTGAATTGCTGTACGCTTTATACTCGGAAAATTGTAAGAGTTAAAGATCTCTTTTAGATTAAACAATATGTTTTGACACCTTTTTCATTGTTCAAGGCAGTTGACACGTTTAAAAGAAGACATGAGGTTGAGGGCATGTAGAGTTTGTTATTTTTCGCAAAGTTACACAAGTTATTAAGTTTTCTTAATGAATATAGTCAATAAATTCGATATCTTTGCGATGAAATAATGTAATGTCCATACCAAACCAGAGACAAATACACAGTGCTTTTACAATAATGTGTGTCTTCAGAAAATCCACTCTAAAAAGGTCTAAAGGAGAGACTAACTCAATTGCCTCTGACAAATAGAATCCATAAGAGGGCCTCCTTTAAGAAGTCTAGTAGCAAAGATGAGTATAATGGAGTGGCTGTTCTGTCCTAGTCATACTGTAAACCTGAAGTGATTCACTCCAGTTATCGGCAGTCGGTCTGCTCCAGACGGGGCAGGTAAACGCGCCATTGTGCGAGTGCTTTCACCTCACGGGGAATATGGAATACCAGCCATTTGTTAGGGGTCTGGTAGAGACGTGTTATGATCAATACTTCATTCTTTAACTTGGCAGACTCTCCAGATCAAAGTTCAGCACTTCCTTTCATGAAGGAAGTTTTTGCATTCATAAACTCTCAGTATTTCAGAAAATAGAAAAGCTTACTACAGTAACTTTTGCTCCTTGACTACTTTTCTATTATAAGTAGCCTATCTAATTAAATAATGTATTAGTATAAAAATATGTTATAATTTAATGTGAGATAAAATGTAGAGTTTTATTAAGCCATCCAAAAGAAAAACTGAAGAAAAAATAATCCTTAGTAACTTCGGCATTTGAGCATAGATTTCACTACTTACTAAAATAAATCAATCTACGTTTGCGAGTTTGAGAAAAGTAAATAAAAGTAATGAAACTATGCGTGTTAATAAATTTCCGCTCTATTTCTTCTTAGTTAGTGCCAATACTTTTTAAATAACGATTAATTCTCATCTTTAAAATAAACCTCGCTAAGATAGAGACAATTTAAACATTCGTTCTAGCAAATAAATGTCAAAAAATCTAGACTCGTCATGTAAGAAAATTGTAGGCGAAACGATAATGTATCGTTAGTAAATGGAAAGACGTATTAGAAAACAATTTTTGACAGTTTAAACTAATTTGTTATAAGATTAACTTCAAAGGCGGCACATGTCCTCCATAATAAGTTGGTATTTAATGTTTTTTTAATTATTTTTTTATTTAAAATTTCTTAGGTCACAAAATGCACTAGGCTAGATTCTAGATTGATCTTTCTTTACGTAGGCTGAGTTTCACCACCTAACTTTCTCCGTAATTTTAACGATAACCCGTGTTTTGTATGGAGTCTGACAGATTTTTGACGTTTGTCAGAGTTAAAATAAGATCGTGCAACCCAGCCTTAATTTTCTGACGCAATTCCCGTGTTTTGAGTCGATCCATCGGTTATAATTGTTTCATTACTTGTCTTGATATTTACATTTCTGTCTGTAGATTATGCTACTTTGATATTTTATTATTTACTAGCGGCCGCCCGCGACTTCGTACGCGTGGTTCCCGTTTTACCCCCTTAGGGGTGGAATTTCGAAAAACCTTTCTTAGCGGATGCCTCCGTTATAACATCTACCTGCATGCCAAATTTCAGCACGATCCGTCCAGTGGTTTGGGATGTGCGTTGATAGATCACTATGTCAGTCAGTCAGTCAGTCAGTCAGTCAGTCAGTCAGTCACCTTTGAGTTATATGTATAATTAGATTTAGATTTTACTAGTAATGTGACTGGCCGAAAAGAGCTCTACTTTATTCGGGAGCGTATACTTTTGACGTATTGAGATATCCGTCAAATTGAGATATACTCGAAATGTACTACGTACAGAATATTACTTCAATGTCAAAGAACATGTGACTGAAGTTAAATTAAGGAAAAAACTTAATGCAGTATTTAACTAGCTGTGCGTGCAAAAATCGCGCAGTCGGGTGAACATTGCCCATGTTAATAGTCACAATTATCCGTTTACAATACCAACCGTAATGTTAATATATGGAGAATGTTATATTCAACGAATCGTTATATTGAGAGTGAGACTGAATATTACTGCGAAAAAATAGGATGGGAACAATTAACTAGATAAAATTCAGTATTACAGATGCGCATTTAGTGATTGATTGATAAAATACAATTAGCAATGTTGAGCAAGAAACTATGCTTTTTTAAACAATTAAAATAGGAGTCGATAATTGATTAATTAGCGATCAATTTTTCAAAAGAATTCATTTTTAGATCTTTTTTCACATGTCGGAGAATTTCGCTATTACTGAACTATTTTGTGTCTATATTCTATAGGTTCTTTTGATACTAATCAATATTTCTCGAACAGATTTAGGTGGGCTCTAAATTCTAGGTCTCTGCTGAGACATTTGTTAAACTTGTCGATGAAATATTAACGCAGTAAGTTTATTATTACTTAGGAAAATCTCCTAAACAATTATATTTAACAAACAATCGTATTACACGTTAATATGGCGTCGATAACCCGGCTACCTTTCTATAAATACTCCTTAGTGTGATCGAACGTTATGAAATGTGGCATATCAAGAGAGTGCCCGTATACCAGTGGCTCCCAATCTTTTCTGAACCATGGACCACTTTGATTTCTTTATTATGCGCAAAGACCATTCAAAAATCCGTAAATAAACTTAAAAAACTGTATCTAAAATAAGTAAGTTTGTATTATTGAAAAGGAAGTCATCTTTATTTAGAAAAGCAAATAATTACGTTTATATCAATGTGCTTTTTTAGCTTGCATTCTTCTGTACTTACTAGTTCGGTAATTAGTAGGACTAATATTACTTAAACCCTCTCATCATGACACGGGTAAATCTATTACTCACGAAATTTAAAATCGTTGGGACCATGGACCACTGGTTGGGAACCACTGCCGTATATGATAGTTATAGTCTGTATCTATTGTTTTAATGATCGTTTATCAAATTAACGTCGGGCTTTATGATTCATACCAGCGAAGAATGCGGGCGTATAAAAATGGCAGATGTTAACCGCAACTTGGTAGAGTTCGAACCGTAAATAGATTTTACAGCTTGATAAGATTCAGAACCCTCTTCTTTGAATTTAAATTAACAGTTTGAGAGATGTTAAGATAAGATAGATTTTGTCGCAAGTGTAGAGAAAACTCGAGGCAACTGCTTAGTAAATTAATGATCAAACTGTTATTGCAGATGTAGAAAATCTAACTTGATTTCATCTTAACGTTTAGAAAAGATTAAAGTTCAAAAACTCGTGGCAACTGTTCAATAAAATAATTATTTAAGAAACTGTTACTAGATTTAGAAAATCTAACTTGATTTCATCTTAATTTTTAGAAAATTTAAGTTAATTCAAGTACCTATTTTTCAAATAAAAAAAAACTCACACGCGCTCATTTCAATTTAATTTTCATGTTCACCATATTTCTAGTTTGCAATGAATATAAAAATATTAAAGCAAGTAACATTTGCCCGGGAAATAGCAGGTCGTCCATTTTTAACGCAAAACTAGATGTAAGCGCAGTGCAGGTGCTAAGTGGCAGCACTTGGGCATAACAAGCTGTTCACGTTTTTGTCGCATTTTGAACTAAACGCTGTATATCTCTATCTTTATGTCGATAACTATACTTAGCACTTAGTTTTTTGTATTAATATGAATCAGAAAATTAAACTGCACACATAATTTTATTACTATTGGAGTAACATTCAACAGTGGAGTCAATATTTAGTCAATCTTAGATATCTCATGAAACTTTCGTAAGACATAGATTGAAAATGCACTTACTACAGGTGCATTAAAGGCATTTTGTAACCACCGATCAAAAACACCGTTGCTGTATACTTCTCTAAAAAATAAACAAACTTCTTACACTTAAATGTATTCCATGTTGCCTAAATTAACTACTTTAGAATGATTTTTGTGTTTTGTGGAGTCAGCAATCTCATTAAGTAATTAAACTCACCGTTAACCCTTTTCGCGCGGTTCGCCAGCACGTCAGCCAGCTTGCCCAGCTCGCTTTGCAAAGCGCCCTCTATCTGCGTACGCGCAAGCTGCGTAAGCCTCGAGTGTGCGCCAGCGCCGCAGCATCCTTTGCTGAGGCATAGTCCGTCTGCGTCTGTGGACAACGAAAAAGACAAATGAGCATCGTAAGGCAACATTTATTTGGAAAAAAAAGACAGTTGAGCATCATGAAGGGACAGAAATATATGCTGCTCTTGTCAAACAGTTACAGCACGTTTTATGAATGAGAAAGAGGTAGACCGAAAATAAAGATAAGATAAGATAATACTTTATTGCCTCGTTTTTACATGCTTTACAAACACAGAAATATAAACAAAAAAAAATTACATTAAAAACATAAGAGGCAAAAGGATGAGGCTCAGCATATTATGCGATATAAAGACAGTTGAGCATCGTAAAGGAACATTGATTTAAAGTTTATATGTGCTCTCGTCAATATACGGCACGTTTAGGTGAATGTGAGATGTAGAGCCAAAAGTAAAAACAAAAGACAGTTGAGCATCGCAAAGAGACATTGATTCTCGTAGTAAGTCGTCTCGTCAGTTATTTGCCAGTTGTAAACTTGGTTGAAATGATAAACGTTTTCTCCAAATGTAAATTGACAATGTTTAGTAGATAAATACCAAATTGGCGCCCAACGTGGTTGTGAAAGTCCAAATAATTTTCATTTACCGAATTAATCGGTATTAAATTAAATTCTTAACAATTAATGTCAAAGCTAGAATATCCACTTAAAAACTTTTTTTTTCTTTACATTTAATTGAAACATTAATGTCATTTTATAAATCAACATTCCGACAGAAGGCATTTTTTTCCGTTAAAATAAATTATTAATTAAGTCGTAAATTACGAGCTGAATATTAATAATGGGTCTGTAATTAAACCGGCTCGCATGACTGACATAATTGCAGAAACAGCGCGGTAATAATAACATAACAATCATTGGGTAACGTTTAATAGTGCACTAACATTAAAATGACAATCCAACCAGAAAGAGTAGGGCTACTTCTCTCTTTGTATCATATTAAATATACGATTGATATAAGATTGATATAATTAATGTAAATTGGCGACAGTTTCTAAAAACGTTGGAGGATCGCCGCAAGTCAACAAGTCAATCAAAAATAGTAAATCTGTTGTCTTAAATTGTAAAGATTCATCAAAAAATTGTCCAGTGGTTTATGCGTTAAGGCGTAAGATCATCCTTGCAAGCTTTCGCGTTAAAAATGAGCGTTGTAAGATTAAGACAAGAGTGTGAAGACTGAAGATTAAGAGAATCTGTGCCATATGATTTTAACTTGCTTTTTCTGCTTTTTCTCAAATTATTATAAGTTCGAGACTTCTTTCCCTTTCTATGGTGTCCATAAGAGCCATTTTATCTTTGCTACATAATTACATAGTCAAGTATAGACGCCAGCCATGATAGGTTACAATTTGCTGTAGGTAACGCTTGATTTAATAACATAATACGGGAATTGATTAAACAATTATTTCTTGTAGATGTTGGTTGAATAAATTGCATCGTCGGATGGTTATTATCTTTTCAATAAAATCGATGGTGAGAGCTTTAAGCTTTCTCAAATATACGCATAAGAGTTAGTAAGCGTCTAATAAAGTAACTGTACAATGTATGACAAATGTTGATTTTCCATATAAATAAATAGACTAAACACGAAGAGCAGTCACCCGGCAAGCGAAAGGTGGTGGGTTCGATTCCCGCCTTAGGCAGTTCGATGTTTTCAAGTTGTTTATTTAAGACTAAACACTATTAAATAATTGCATATGAGACTGTTTTATGTTAGGTTATCCGTATTTTAAATACCCAATAAAGTGATGCTACAACTACTAAGTAGATAGGTAGGTCCTGCTCCTGCACATTTTTTTCTCTTTTTTATGCATTACAGACAAGGCATGTGTTTGACAATCGGACCAGTTAACTAACTGAGATGCAGTCTAGGATGGTACATCTTTAAGAATATTTACTGTCCTTTCAATAGGCTCAAATCCAACCAGCCATTCAGAAATACATCAATACCTCGCAGTACACAATATTTGCTATGCCTATGGGGGTTTAGCCCTCCCAGACGGGGTCTGCGCCCCTTGCCCCAAATAAGTTTAAATATCCGACGGCGGGACGTTATTGCATTAGGCGCACGCACCTCCGCATACATATTAGTATAAACTTAATATTTTCATCCATAGGAGATCTAACGAATTTTCGTTTACTACTTACTAAGGAAAAGTCCGATACTATTATGTCTCCTTAATCAATATTAACGGCTAACGGGACTGCTTATTAAACACAATTTGAATTTTAATGGTTTTTCCAAACTGTTAATAATTTTGTTTTCTAAAAGATTATTAGTAATTTGTGTAATAACGAATTACTAATAATCTTTTAGAAAACAAAATTATTAACAGACTGGAAAAACTATTCAAATTCAAATTGTGTTTATTGAGAAATCACAGATAAGTCAGGTCATACAATTTGGTAATAGATCAGCTGTGTATTCTATTCATAATATGTAGGTACATCATACTTATGTATATGTGTAATTAATTTGAATCAGTGCTAGTTGGAGAGTTTTGAAATTGAGTTTATAACCTTATAAACCTTATAAAGTTGTTTCTGTTAGACCATGCATGTACCTATTCAATGTTTAATTAAAAGTTGTGCTGCATTTTTTCGTACTTTATTGTTATCTTGAAGTCAATACAATACTCATCTTCTATGAAATCGATTGATAGTTCTTTATCTATTTTATCAAATACAATCGTAATATCTATCCTATTATCACGATTGTAAGGTCTATATCTATTTATAATTTTGCGAGTGTCAAGTTTGAACGTCTCTAGATTAACGGCACCCTACGGACTTCAAACCAACAGGGTTTGATTTCGTGCTTCTTGAAGTTGAGACGGGATCAACTAAAATTACTGATTTACATTATGTAAAGCGTTCGCAACGGAATATACTGCTTATGTCAAGGTACTAAACACCATTCCAGTTTCGGCTTAGGGGACACCAAACCAAATTAAAGTTGTGGTCCAAGTTATCAACTACCCCATAAAAAACAAAATAATTAACTATGGATCATTAATTTGTAAATATAGTAAAGCTAAATATTAAGTACCTAATTTGGAGCGTTCTAACGTTGTTTAAAAACAAAGCGATTTATTCTTCAAATAAATAATAGCACGCATTATTTTTTAGCATAATTAACAGCCATTATTGGCATAAAATAATAATATACAGACATAACTAACGCTATCTTTGCTTTGGTCATTATAAAAACAAAGCTATTTTTAATGATGAACTAAAAAGGTCGGTAATTTGATAAAAAAGTGTTAATAAATACCGAGATAGTGTTTAATAAACATAAAAAGTCACAGTAAGTATAATGAGATCATTATTTTATAGGTATAGTTTAGTTAACAATGTTACTACCTACATACTATGTTAATTAATCTTTAAAATTTTGTACATAGCCTTGAATATTATTATTTTTAATTTTCGTCATTATTAGTGACTATGACGATACTTTTGTGTGTAAATTAGGTACCTACATGAGATAAGTTCAAATATCACAAAAAATTAAGGAGGTAAAGCACTCACCGTCGTTAGCCCAATGTTAGCTATGTACGAGGTTCACTGCTCTATATTTTTCTTATAAGCGGCTAAAGGTACTCTTTTATTTATTTATTTAATGAAAGAAACAAACTCTTGCAAGATAAGAGCATTAGTTATAAAAATCATTCGAATATTTAAACTAAGATTTTAACAGTAAACACAACTTTAGTAGAGGTGTTATAACGTCCCGCCCTACGCGCGTCCTTTGCACCCCATTGCAACGGTCGGGGGTGACATATCTATTGAAGGCAGGCGATAATGCGCCTCACCAATGCGTCTGGCCACAGACAAGAGATGTCAGCTAGTAAAGAAAGATACGAGTGCAGAGGAAGAAAGAAAGGAGAATGAACGACTATCAGAAGAAGTACGGTACGAAGATTGTTTTAATAACTACCATTGGTAAAAGCTTTGCTCTATTATTCTACAACACTTTTAAAAGCCTATTGGCTCACTAAAGATGGGGATGAAGGGAAATGTTGATTCTCACGCAATAGAGAGAAAAAATAATATAGGAAATAGAAACTTTGACTATTAACCAACAAATTTTACTGAAATCACCGAATAAGATTTCAACCAACTAAAAACTTTGCATGATTCGAATCAAAACACTTATGCCAGATAATATTCAAAGTACTTACATACAACTAGGAATATCAACTGCTCTCCCACACAACTGTTCAATATACTGATACTGATTTCAGCGCACACAGTACAACTAAAATAAAAGCTTGTAACAACTGGTCTAGCTGTTCTCCCTGCACTGTGCCAGGAAGCTTTAGGAGGGCGCGATTGATCCGCGGTCGTCTGATTGCTACGGCCCACGGCTCTACGCTCATTTCCTCAATATTGTGGACAAACAAACGCTACTCAGCTGCGAAATAATTTATGTTCAACGGGCTTGAAAATTTGAGGGTGGGAATGTGTCTTTGATTAATTTTTCAATCGTTTATGTTTCGGTTTTTGAAATTTTGTCTGAATTATTGGTATTTTGAAGGAATACTCTTCCCTCATGGTCTAATGATCTTTTTAGTATACTACCCTCACTCACCAAATGCTCTATCAATCGAAACAACGTAAAAATACATTTATCTTGCAGTCGCCCGGCAAGCGGAAGGTCGTGGGTTCAAGTCCCGCCTTAGGCAGTTCGATTTTTTCAAGTTATTTATTTAAAACGAACCTTGTTTCTCCATAATTTATTGCACTTGAAAATTGTACAGTCACACAGTAAGTACGTTTTTATTGAAAAACAGCTATTTTTACAAATACATAAAACCAGTTGCTGTCGCCCGATATTAACTTTGAACTAAAGATTCTCTCTCAGTTCATACAACACATACATACACCAAAATAGCTCTAGCAAAGCAATATACGTAACTGCAATCAATAGAAACTATTGTTAAACAAACTTCGTGTGGTATCTAAATCCCAGGACCTAATCTGAACAAAGCAGGGCTTTAGCCGGG